GCCAAATGTGTTACGCCTCCACAAATCTTACAACTACCACCCTAATAAATGAAATTCATAATGGGAAGTTTCAGCGTTTATTAATGAAGGATATTAGCTTGGATAGCTCAAGCATGAATGAATAACATCTATATCCTGAAAACTTTGATTTCTCTGTTAAGAATATAGGCAGTCATGTTGTGGAAAATTCAAAACCACAGATGAAAACTAATTCACCTTTGGATAAATCCCATGAGTATTTTTAGAGCAGTCCTTGCTTAAGTGACCGGTCTCGTTACAGATGAAGCACTTGGCAAATTTAGTTCCTCCTGCATTACCAGTTAAACAAAATGAATAACAACGCAATGACATAACCATAGAGTAAAAAAGATATCACCACCACCAGATTGACTCATAAGGCTATAGACCTCTGCATTGTTCATGTAAACTTCAAATGCATGTGTGATACACCAGTACACAAACACACTCAAGCATAGCCACTTAAAAAATTTCTGCACGCATCATCCGAATATTAAACAAACTTTATGTAATTTAAAGGATGCGAAAGATTACCTTCTTGAAGAGGTAGGGGGCAGGTAGATAGTGAATGCCCAGTTTCCCCACAATTATAACATAACTTCACAGCCACGGTGTCATCATTCTTGTTAAGGCAATCCTTGATGCTATGCCCACGTTGTCGACAATACAAACATATCTGCAAGCATCAAATAATCGCAAAACACATGAACATCAGTCGGATCCAGTCCACACCATGAATAACCAATTTCAAATAAAAATTCAATTCTATTAACTTTTGCAAAGGACCAAACAAAGACCAAATTTGATTCAAGCTCTCACCAGATTTTCCATTACTAATAGCTAAAAAAAACAAACCTACGAAGACATATGCATTTGTAATCCATTTTTTTTCAGGCATTAACTTCTGAAATATTCAGAAGCCATAATGTACATGATTGGTTCACCATTTTCTTACAGAACCCGCATAAAATTCGACAACATAATCAAAGTTCCATCATTTAAAAATTACCCAGATAAAGGAAACTCAAACTAAATCAGAATCAGTACCCAACAAAAAACAAAACAAAACAAAAACAAAGTTCACACCTTGTGCTTGTCCCACCCAGCTCGCTCAGGGCAAAGCTTGGCGATATGGTTGGTGGCTTTACAAATGAAACAGCTCTCCCCAGGCCTCATACCAGGGACTCTAAGTGGGTGTTTGCTATGAGAAGTTTTGGTGGGTTTGTCTGGACCATTGGGTGCTTTCTTGCGCTTGAACGTGCTCTTCTTTCCCTTCTTCTTGCTTGGGTCCTTAGGCGGCGTCGGATGTTTAACCAGTTCAGGGTTTTCCGCTCTGAATCTCTTGCGGGCATCTCTCTGTCTTTTGCTCACCATATTTGTCTGAGAAGCCAAAAACGAGAGCTTGGGAGTTCCGGAGGGTTTTGGGGGCACACTACAAAGGGTTCAAGAAGAAGGATAATCCCCTGCAGTCAGTACCGTTGTATGTTTCTTACGTGTCAAATCATGATTCCGTTAACTGAAAAGTCAAGGGAATTCCTTAGATTGAGTAATTGACCCTGCAGGTGGGCTCAGGGGCCTCTCCGGTGCTCATGTTGGCCCAGTTAACCTGACCCCAGTATAGTCGTGGCTATACTAATTATTTTATAGTAAAAAAAAAAAGGACTCCAGTATAGCCCCGCGGCTATACTATTTATTGAAAAAACTTTTTACAAAAGTCGCCAGGTATAGCCGTGCGTATAAAAAAATTAAAAAAGGACCCAAGTATAGCCGATCGGCTATACTATTTATTTTAAAAATAAAAAAGAGACCTCGTATAGGCGCGCGGCTATACTAATCATTGAAAAAGCAAAAAAAAAAGGCCCCAGTATGGCCGCTCGGCTATACTATTTATTGAAAAAACTTTTTATAAAAGTAGCCAGTTATAGCCGCTTGGCTACACTATTTATTAAAAATTTTAAAAAGGACCCAGTATAGCCGTGCGGCTATGCTATTTATTTAAAAAATAAAAAATAAACAGGGGCCCAAGTATAGCCGTCCGGCTATAAAAAAACCCACACACTATTTAAACATATAAACACACCCAAAATCAACCCCAAAGTCAACAATTGTATATTTTTTGGGTGTGTTTATAAATGGTTTTTGAGTGTGTGTAATGATGGGTTTTGGGTGTGTTTATAAAGTGTTTTGGATGTTTGGTTTTTTTATAATTTCAGCCCCCATTTTGGGTGTTTTAGTGAAACTCCCTTAAAAAAATTAAAGGCATACCCAAGTATAGACGCTCGGCTATACGGATGAAAAAAATAAACGCTCTCACTGTACTCAACAATGTGTACGGGTACAATTCTAAAATCACTGCTAGCACAAGACCCAACTTGCATCTCATTCTATGCACCAATTTTTCTGTTATTGACTGGCCAGAACTTGTTGAAACTAGGCCAACAAGTCCATGCCCAGATGGCTCTGCGTGAGCTCGAACCTAATGCGTTCCTTGGGGCCAAGATGGTTGCAATGTATGCAAGCTCAGATTATACATTGCAACCAGATATCTATAACAAATAGAACCCCACTGCACAAAATTTTGATAAACACAGAAACAGAGTACCCCCAAATCAAAATCAAAATCAAAATGCTAACTATGACATTAAACCAAGAAAAACATGAAATCTAAACAATACCCAGATCTGATCCAAAAATGAAAAAGAAAAATAATACCCAGATGCTCTCTCTCTCTCTCTCTCTCTCCAAAGTAGGTTGTGGTGGGTTGGGTTTGAGTGCGATGGTTGTGACTGTTGGGTTTTCGCCGGAAGAATAGGAGGGCGGATGGGTGGTGACTATTGGGTTTTCACAGAAAATCCCTTAAGCCAAGCACCAGCTGCGTAATAAACCACCAGCACCAATAATTCCAGTATTTCAACTCCGACAACCATCAGTGTTGACCTTGCAAAAGGGTAGAGATGAGAGAAAAGTTTTTTTTTTTTTTTTTGGGTCTAAATGAGAGAGAAATTCCGGTTGTGGTTTTTGTGATGAGTAATTTTAACCCAGTTATAACAAAACTACAATTTTAAAATTGAATCGTTTATTTTAATTGGACGGTTGTTAACATCCCGCAAATAAGCCCCGCATATTAATCTCCTCATTCTAGCAAAACCCCCTAAATAGGGCTCCATTTTTAGTTGGCCCTTGGGCCTGATAGGACTTAGGCTATGTTAAATCTCAAGTTCAAAAACCATCTCATAAGTATGAAGATCTATCCTTATAAAAAAAATAAAGAGTGCTGCTATTTCCACCCACCTGTCCTATTTCTCCATCCACCTTATCTTCTCACCCACTATGTAAATTTGAAAAAACACAATCCTATCTTTCCACCCACCATTATTCCTAAAACACCCTTAAATTATTAATTCGAGCAAATTCTCTTTTAAGTTAAAGAGGTCTGTTAGAGCAAGTCCACCCATGAAGGCAAAGGCAAGGCTAAGGCAAGGCAAGGGCTGCCACTATTCATGTGAATAGTGTCAGCCTTGCCTTAGTTGGTTCCACCCATTTAAGGCTAGGGCAAGGGCAAATACTATTCATTGTACTTTATTTTCAATTTTTTAATACTTTAAACCATTAATTAATTTTGTCAGATAATATTTTCGGTTGCCACGTGTCACTATTTATTATAAAATTATCACCTCAAATTTCAGATAACATTTTCAGATAAAATTTTCGGATAATATATTTGGTTGCCACGTGTCCATGTCAGATAAGATTTTAAGTTTTTTTTTTAAAGATTATAATCTCATATTTCAGATGAGATTTTGACCCTATAAAATTACGCCATGTGTCCCATGTCAGATAAGATTTTCAGATTTATTTAAAAAATTATAATCTCATATTTCAGATAGATTTTCACCCTCTAAAATTGCGCCACGTGTCCCATGTCAGATAAGGTTTTCAAATTTTTTTAAAAAAATCATAATGTCATATTTCAGATAAGATTTCCATCCTATAAAATTGCGCCACGTGTCATCTCTATCTTCTCAATCCTTCTATATAACTACATCATCAACTCATACATCTCACACCACATCTTCTCTTTTCCTTCAATTCTCAGATTTTACAATACATATTTTACTCTCAATGTCAAACTTGAGGAGGTTGTTGGAGAGGCAAGAGAGAGAAGAGGAAGAAATCCGGCGGAGACGTGCTGAGGAAGATCAGGAGGCCGATGAAGAAGAGGACGAAATGCTTGTAGCCTTCGCTATGCTTAATGAATCAAGGCAACACCACCGTCGTCGTGCCCATAATGTGGATAGACGCAGGCAATCTCGGGGTAAGAATCTCATGGAAGATTACTTTATCCCAAATTCCTTATATCCTGTTTCTAAGTTTCGAGAGAGATATAGAATGCAGCCACATTTGTTCCAAAAAATCATGCATGATATTTGTAATTACGACACATACTTCATTCAAAAGAATGATGCTTGTGGAGTTTTGGGTCTTCTCCCGGAGCAAAAACTTACAGCTGCTTTGCGGATGCTTGCTTATGGGGCATCTGCAGAGCAGGTGGATGAGATTGCAAGGATGGGAAAATCAACTATCCTAGAGTGCTTGGTGAGATTTTGTGATGCAGTAGAAAATCTCTACACAAGGGAGTACCTTCGCAGACCTTCTCCAAGGGACCTCCAAAGGCTTCTACAAAAAGCTGAGACTCGAGGTTTCCCAGGAATGATTGGAAGCATCGATTGCATGCATTGGCAGTGGAAGAATTGCCCAACAGCTTGGCAAGGAGATTATGGGAATCGAAAGGGCCAAAAAAGTATAATTCTGGAGGCCGTAGCTTCATTCGACACTTGGGTTTGGCATGCCTTCTTCGGAGTGGCCGGATCTCAAAATGACCTCAATGTGCTTGGTCAATCTCCAGTGTTTAATGATGTATTGCGAGGTCATTCTCCCCAGATCACGTACCAAATCAACAACACAACATATGGCCAAGGTGTTTCAATACAACCTAATGGTTTTCATCATTTAACCAATCCGTATTGCTAGGTCCGTCGTCTTGGAAAAGTTTTCTTCTCATCACATCCCTTCGTTTTATTTTCCAGTATGACTTTGTGTCAGGAGACATATGGGTGGTATCCATGGACATGATTTTCATCTCTCTATCCTCCATGTCTTGTTCTTCTGCCTTCGCCCTTTGAATTGAAAATGCTTCTTGTCGTGCCTTGTCCATTTCTTCTCGTTTCAACTCTCTCTCAAGTCTCAGTGCACTATTCTTAGCCATTTGCTCCAAAAATTGTGCACATTCATTGTTCGAAGTGCTCCCTCTCTTTGCCTTTGCCGCCTTTCTCCCAATAGGTCTTGGCGCACGTGGGAGTGGTGAGTCTTGATCCATTGGGGAGTCCAATGGCGAATCGGTTGTCGACGAATCGTGAAGCGGCGTCTCATTCAACATAACCGGCAGAGTAGTGCAAATGATTTTGAATCTCGAACAATTCTTCACAATTTCCCAACATTCGTGACTATGGAAAGTTTTTTTGCCTTGCCCCGTCGCTCCGAACCACATTTGTGCTTGTACGATCTATTAAAAATAAATAGTTGCAAATGCAACAAAAAAAAAATGAATATAGAAGAAAATATAAATAATTTGGAAATGCAAGAAAATAATTGATTATGCAACAAATTATAAACATTTTATAAATGCAATAAATAAAATGATTATACAACAAAACAATAAATATGTAAGAAAATATAAAGCATTTACAAATGGAAGCAAAAAAATTATTATGCAACAAAATATAAATAAATTAGAAATGCAAGAAAAAAAAAATTATAATATGCAAGAAAAAAAATTGATACATTAAATTAAATAAAACGAGAATTATAAATATTTTACCTCATCGGTAAGATTTTGACCGCTTCTATGGTTCTCCCTAGCTTTTGCCAAGGCATCCCTCCATTTGCCTAACTCTTTATTCAAAATTTTCCACCTGGAGGCTAAGGCCATTTCCGTGCGCCCCGAACCGAATCTTTCAACAAATTCTTCATGAATTTTTTTCCACATTTGAGAAAACTTCATCTCATTGCCGGATATAGGGCAATGACTAACTTTCACCCAACACTCACACAACACAACATCTTCAACAGTACTCCAAGAGCCTCGGGCTTCGACAGAAGAGGCCATTTGTTTTTTTGATACAAATGGAAACTTGTAGAAAAATGTGAGTGGAATGGAAAAAATATTGCAAGGAGAAGAGTTGGTATGAAGATTTGGTGTGGAAGGTAAGTTAAATTGATAGGTATTTATAGGGAAAAAATACATAATTTTTTGGTATTTTTTTTAAAAAAATTTGAATTTTTTTTCGATTTTTTTTGCAATTTTTTTGGCGGAAAAAATGAGGATCGTCGGATTTCTGCAAAAAAAAAGATCGGAGAGCTGGGGAATCGCCACGTGGCTTCTGCCCGTTGGGACCTGCAGGCGCTGACGTCAGCGAGCGGAAGTGAAATTTTTTTACCGTTGGCGCGTGAAATTCACGCGCCAACGGTAAAAAAAATTTGAATTGGTGAGGGCTGACGTCACGCATGACGTCAGCGCCTTCGGGCTTCAGCCCAGGCAAGATCTGCCCGTGGGCTTGCCCAGGTACGTAGGACCCACCACTTGCCCAGGCTTCATTTCTTCCGCTGGAGCTGGAATGGGCTAGCCCGAGGGGCCTTTTGCCCGGTTTTGGTGCATGGCTGGAGGAGCTCTTAATGGGAGATAGGATGGTACAGAAGATGCAATAATGGGAAATAGGAAATTTGAAGAATCACCCATAGTTATAAGGTTTGATATTTGTGATTTGGATTTTTTTAACTTTTTTTAATTTTAAGGTTGAGGCAATTGTTTTGGTTTTTAATCCTTTTCTCTAAGTCCTTAGAAGTCTTTTCATAAATGGGTAAATTTATCTTTAAAATTTTAAAGATAAGATGGGTGGGAAAATAGGACAGGTGGGTGGAAATAGCAGCACTCAAAATAAATTATAAAGTCGATTCTTTGATCGTTAAACTCTAATTAACGCCAACTAATCTATTGGATTACCACCCCATCATATTATCTATGTATTAATGACATTACTTAAGTGTCTCATAAGTACTATTCCGTGATATACAAGTTTTTCGCTTCAATTTTTGTTCACATTGTTCAGCGCACGTCTCAACTTACGTGCTTTGAACTCTTCTAGTCGGTTAAAGATATGTTTTGAAAGAGATAAAAAAAAAACACTACTCCAATATCAACCTTCTAGCAACTTCTAAGAATTTCATATTTGCAAAGACACTTAGGTGCCAAAACTAGAAGGCTCCTCCCTAACCTTATATCCAAGTATGAGATTCCAATATTGACGGGGCGATACTTTAGTGTATTTACACAACATTCATTTCACTAAATTTTGCCAATAAATTGGCTTGGTTGCCTCCTTTACTCGATTTTAATCCAAACAAATAAGTGTATCACGAACTTTGAAGGTGTGGTGCCATGAACCTTAGCCACCCCCGTCGTTGGTGGCACGTGGAGCCCTCGACCACCAATGGGCCAATGGCATTGCTCAAATCAACACGATGGGTTTGCTTGGAATGGCCGCAAACTAAAGCGTAAGCACTGAACCCATGTCAGAGCTTTTAGACTCTTTGCCACTGCCCTCTTGCTAAAAGCCGATGATCCCCTCTCTCAAAATATTATTCTTCCTTTGTTGGATTGGAAGGTAGGGTTGGCATATGTTAGTAGCTTACCTATAAAAATGATGGGTTTCTTAGCTTTGTGACCAAGGGTAGAGTGATGGCTACACTTGATCTCAATTCATGTCATTTTTGTAATGATTATGATGATGATAATAACATTGCTTCTCTCTCTTTTGGGTTTGTTCATCTAGTTATATGGGGTCACTTCTCTAATGTTATAGATTGAGTGAAAGCTAAGGTTAGTACAGATATCTCATGCTTTTGTTTAGTCTCCAAAAATATAAGGACCTTGAAATGTGACAACTAAACTTCTATTCCATAGTTCTATCATACAATTTATTTATTTATTATATAAATGTTTCACCTTCCAAATTTTCTCAAGCGATAATTTAAGCTATCAAGATAGAGATTCAAACTTGATTGTAAAAGAGCGAGCTCACTATTCTCGCTGGTTATCTAACCCATGTGTGCTGCTTTTGAATCATTTTAGCTAATAAAACCAAACACGTAACCCATATGTGTTGGAAAATGGAAAAAAAGAAAAGGGAAACACACAAACTACAAATATATAGGAAAACGCTCACCAATTTTGTTTGTTAAACAAATTACCTACTAAATTCGTTTTAAGTGCTTTTTGTCAACAAATATTTGTTTGATTTGATGTTGCAAAATAAAAAATTGTGTGAAGTACTACTCACATGACCCTATCCAGTCACGTGTTCCCGGTGTGCAGACTCTCACTGCCTCATCAAAACCATCCAATATACGTTACCCCACTGTGCCGCTGGCGAGTAACCGTCAGCCAGTTCACAACGCGTGAAATCCAGTCCCCCAATCGTTTCCCAAACGTTAAACACCACATCCACTGCAACCCCACTAAGCCATCCGGTACTCCCTCACATCGAGACGTACATCCAAATTGACTTCCACTCAGCCAACCCAATCAACGTCTCAGATTCCCTCCAGTCCCTACCATTTACATACCAGATCAGCCCCTGCTGACACTCAAAATTACAGGTTCGCTTTTCAAAATTTAAATTCCCACTCAAAACAAACGGTGCCGTCAAGTTCGTCCGTTATCTCTCCCGCTATAAAACTCCCCACGTCACTCCCTCACTCTCCAAAACCCTTCATCTTCTTCCCGATCATCTCTCTCTCCTCGAACCTTCTTCTCCTCAGTCTAAATTCCCATCTCTCGTCAAACACAGCCACTCTCTTTCAAGCGCGCTTCAAAATGCGTGAGATTCTCCACATCCAGGGAGGCCAATGCGGCAACCAGATCGGCGCCAAGTTCTGGGAGGTCGTCTGCGCCGAGCACGGCATCGACTCCACCGGTCGTTACCAAGGCGACAACGAGCTCCAGCTCGAGCGCGTCAATGTCTACTACAACGAAGCCAGTTGCGGGAGGTTCGTCCCACGCGCCGTCCTCATGGATCTGGAGCCAGGCACCATGGACAGCGTCAGATCTGGACCGTACGGCCAGATATTCCGGCCCGATAACTTCGTTTTCGGGCAGTCCGGTGCCGGCAACAACTGGGCTAAGGGTCATTACACCGAAGGCGCCGAGTTGATTGACTCTGTTCTCGATGTCGTTCGGAAGGAGGCTGAGAACTGCGACTGTTTGCAAGGTATTCTTCGAGTTCGATTTTAGTTGCTAGATCAGTAGATCCATGTCCATTTTCCGAGTTTTCGAGTGTTTGGATACAAGATATAATAATTATCGTAGAATTTTGGTGGTTATGAATCCAAATTGACTCTGGTTGGATACACTTTATATGGTTTCGAGTGTGCTAATTGTTACCTAATGTACTTGTTGGCAACAGGCTTTCAGGTTTGCCACTCTCTCGGAGGAGGTACTGGTTCTGGAATGGGAACGCTTCTCATTTCCAAGATACGAGAGGAATACCCGGACCGAATGATGCTCACCTTCTCTGTATTTCCGTCGCCAAAGGTGTCAGACACCGTCGTTGAGCCTTACAATGCAACTCTCTCGGTTCACCAGCTTGTTGAAAACGCAGATGAGTGTATGGTTTTGGACAACGAGGCTCTCTATGACATTTGCTTCCGAACACTCAAGCTCACCACTCCCAGCTGTGAGTTTCTTCTTCTTTGGGTACTCTGCCCTGTTGAATTGTAAATATGGATTTCCTAGTTCAATTTAGAAAAATCTATGTTATTCTCTTGTCGGTTCGGCATTTATCTATTGAAATTTTGACTTGGGGAGTGAATTGTTTATATTATCCCTGTAGTTTGTAGTGAAAGAGCAGATTATTCAAATTCTATATACGATTTCACCATATCAGTTATGCGCCTTGGGCTTATAATCATTGTGTGCATTTCTGCATTAACTATATGTGGTTGAGTCCCCTTTCATTGATATTGTTGTCCTCGGTTTTTTGCTACAATTATAGAAATTATACAATTGGACTAGCTGTTCTTAGTTATACATGCAGACACTTGTAGCCTTGTGCTTAGTGGTAGGACACTAATTGTTTGGCACAATTGCAATTTTAGTTTCACTTGTGCACACTAGCTTCTTAGGGATTTCACTATTTGTTGCTCCATTTTTCCTCTAAAAATTGTATTTGAGATTGTGTACTTGAGTATATGCAAATGGTTCTCTTGTTTGAATTACGGCTTACAAATGCTTGTTAAGTTAGACATAGGTTTTCTCGAAATAGGAATCATTATGTGATGCTCTTCATATTGCAGTCCTTATTACTAATTTGCTGATATTGTGAAACATGACATAATCTGAACAATGGTTTCTACTTGATTGATTCAGTTGGGGACCTCAATCACCTGATTTCTGCTACCATGAGTGGTGTAACTTGTTGCCTTCGTTTCCCTGGTCAACTCAACTCGGATCTCCGTAAGCTTGCTGTCAATCTGATTCCATTCCCGCGGTTGCACTTCTTCATGGTTGGGTTTGCTCCACTTACATCCCGTGGATCCCAGCAGTACAGGGCCCTTACTGTTCCAGAGCTCACTCAACAGATGTGGGATGCAAAGAACATGATGTGTGCTGCTGATCCTCGTCATGGACGGTATTTGACTGCTTCAGCTATGTTCCGTGGCAAGATGAGCACCAAGGAAGTCGACGAACAGATGATCAATGTGCAGAATAAGAACTCATCCTACTTTGTTGAGTGGATCCCAAACAATGTGAAGTCTACTGTTTGTGATATCCCACCTACTGGTCTGAAAATGGCTTCGACCTTCATCGGCAACTCCACTTCCATCCAGGAAATGTTCAGGAGGGTGAGTGAGCAGTTCACTGCCATGTTCCGCAGAAAGGCTTTCTTGCATTGGTACACAGGAGAGGGAATGGACGAGATGGAGTTCACCGAGGCAGAGAGCAACATGAACGATCTGGTTTCTGAGTACCAGCAGTACCAAGACGCTACAGCAGATGAGGAAGGGTATGACTACGAAGATGAAGAGGAAGTTCAGGAGGAGGCTTGATCTTGAATTCTCGGTCTGTTCTCTTTTTGCTGCAGTTATGTTGTGGATTTATTAATCTGGTTTTGTTCGTTAGTAGCTTATTTGGGGTTTGGATTGCTGTATTCTGGTCAATTCCTTGGCCATTACCGCAAGTTTGGTTTTTTATTTTTTATTTTGGTTCTCCTTAGTTTTTAGATGGTATTAGTAGTCTGAAAATATGTGAAATGACAAAAAAGTGTTAATTGATGTCTGTGATATATTAGGGTGGTGTTAAGTAAAGATTGCGATGATTGAATGCCTTTTGTTTGATGGTGGATGGATTATATATACATGGCCTCTGGTTTCAGGGTGTTGATCTTTGTTTTTACTTCATCTTTGCATTTAAAGTCGAAAAGAAATAGATTGAATTGAAGCCATGTGAAAATCTGGCAATGAATCAATTTCTTTCTGGTATTGTTTGCATGTGCCCACTGTCGCAAGCAGGTGCTGCCACTCGAAAGGCTGCAAGATTCTTGTGTTGTGGTCCTTGAAGGCTGCTGCAAGTTTCCTTCTCTTCCTCATCCATATTTAATTAATGCTTCTCTATTCTCTCTTGTACAATATTTGCGCAATAAATCTGTCAGTGGAATAAAGCCATGCATTATATTTTTATTTTTATTTTTCATAATAAATTCAAGGAAATGGAAAATAGAAGTTTTGCGCAATTAAAATTGAAACCACCAAACAACTAATGCCTAAAAATAAATAAATCCGAGTAATTGTCAGTTCAATCTCGCAAGCCCAACCAAGCCCAATCCAAAGCCCAACCTTTCTAATGAATGCGGTGCTAATGTACCACTTTCGTTTAGAAATTATATTAGATCCCTGTAAAGTACCAATTAGTGTGGTTTCAAGCAATTGCTTCTTCAGAAAAGGTTTTTAGTTCGAGCCCTAACTTTCGTGTAGTGTGTGTGAGTTTAGTTAATAGGAAATTTCCTCAACCAAAAAAAAGAAAAAAAGAATAGACCCGGGACCTGGAATAACAGTTCTATGCCCCCACTTGCCCAACTAAACATACACTTATAATTTGACTTAAACCACAATCCACTTACCCTAATTTTAGTTAACCTTTTAGTTTATGGCACCATACGACATATTAAGGTCCGTATGTGGTCACTTGTTGGCCAAAACATTAATGATGGGCTAACTTCTTTCTCAACTCTTGATGGAGAAAGGAGAAAGAATATTCTTCTCCTCAAATTTTGCCTTCTTTTTCTAAGTATACGCTTGCATACTTCATTTTTTGAGATTGGTTTGACTAATCTCGATACAATAATGTTGCGAAACGCATATACAGTATACTGTTCACATTTGCTTCACAAGTGTATGTGTTTTTTTTAATAAAAAAGAAAAAAAAAATCCTCCAACAATCACGCAAAATTTTTATGAGCGTAAAAAAGGGTACATATAATATAGGATGTTAAAATCCATTATTAAAGCATACAAAGCTAGAAAACTATTTCTAGAACACAATTACCTTAATTGTAGCACACAATAAATCTACGTACATAGTATTTCTGAGTTTACAATATACTTATAGTAAAAATTGAAATAAAATACATTGATATTTTGATGTAACATGAAAGCCTGGGCGGCTGGAAAACTCAGCCCCATGAAACCTCATGTATGGAATGATAGTGCACTTAGTTATAGTAAGGAGGCTGTGCTGGAGCAACCTCTGTTGGTGTGGATGCAAACAAATTGGCTGAGTTAATTGGTCCGGGTGCTACCAAATATGCAGGGTGGATTGGTCCTGGTGCAACAAATCCAGAGCTACGGATCTCCGACATCTGTCGACGAGCATTTGCTCCTTGTGCTTCACACAATTTTGGTAGAAATACCCCTATATACAAGCAAAACACCATATAATTAATGAACGTTAAATACTATTAAGATAAATGTGTAGTTTGGATTGGATTCACATTCTAAGAATATAAATAAGTACCTTCACCAGCGGCAAGATTGAAGTAAAGGTCAACAATGTTGGGGCAGGTGTCGTAGCACTGAGGGGAGCAAAGCTTTTGGGTGAAGCGAGACTCCAGGAGAGAGTCTGAGCAGATGCCATAGGATTTGCGGTCAAGCCCACAAGACTTGATGCACTGCTCACTCTCCACCCAGTCCTTCAATTTATCTGTCTCAATCTCTGATATGTGGCACGTGTGTGTATGCTTCCTCTCCGCTCCTCCGGAGATGCTTCTCAAGCACACAGCATTTGCTGGACGACGACACAGCGAATGCGCATGTGTCTTGGTCTAGATCCTCGCATGAAATTGCTCCTGCATGCAAATGAAACTCATTAGAAAATTGGTTGGTAATGAAATAAGAAAGTTGGTAATTAATTAAGTAACCATAAACCAAAACAAACCTAGGGTGGCTTGCACACAGACGGCAAGGGCAAGAGCCAGCACAGCAAGGGTCTTCAAGCTCATGTTAGAAGCCATGTATTTGTAATGAAAAAAGATAGAGGATGTGGCTAATTGAAGGAAGCTAGGAGGAGGAGGAACGTGTTTGTTTTGTTGTGGAGATGCATTGGCGGGGAGGGCTATTTTATGGTCGTTTGAAGAAGGACTGTAGAATATAGAAATTGTGAAAGGTGGATTTAATTATGATTCTGAAGAAGAGATGGTGAACTTTGAATGTGAAAAAAATGGGCACGAAGCCTAGTTTAGATCCTAGTGAAGAGACAGGACCCCATGAAGGAGGGCCGTGTTCGAGAAATATCTCTATCAATGGCGTAGATGCAGCTTGAGATTTTGAGGGCCATGCGAACCCTCACATAAGCTAATACAAACTTACACCATTATATAATGCCATACAATAAATGTTTTTTTTCTTAAAGTGACCAAAGTACCCCTACTTCCAAAGACAAAATTGAAATTTCACAAAAGAATTAAATTGGGTCAGGGATGTAACGTCTTTTGAATAATCACCATGATTGTGACGATGAGTCTTTGTCGTAAAAGATCATATTCAGATATTAAATATTTTTTAACACCTAATTTATTTTGTATCAATATTCCAAGAACATCATTAATTGGATGCCATTTTTTTGATTGAGTTAGTTGGATGCATTATTTTTGCAAAATTGAATATCACATTTTTAATAACCACTTTACTAACCACATTTTTAATTGAGGTGAGCCCTATATATGGAAGTCTTATCTCTATGGGCACTTTAAAAAAAAAATAAAAAAATCTACATGAGTAATTGAAGTCAAGTCAATGGTGGGGACGTACGCACGTGACAAGCAATGTCTACACATAGGAACCAAATAGTGCCAACAAATAAAATAGAAAAAGGTACGCAATAAGAAAAGTTATGTTAACAAAAGAACAAGGAAAGGCATTAAATTTGTCTTAAACGATATGGTATACCAATTAAGAATTAAGTATTGGATCTAGGCTGCCTAACTTTGAGTTGTAACTTGTATTGTATGTATATGGTAATATGGTATGTATGTATGTCACTCTCCAACATCCTTGTGAGTGGCATTTTCCTTTACATTATTCTACGTACGCCATTAGCTCTTAAATTTAGGCGAAAACAAAATGAACAGACAAATTAGCACGAAACTGCATTTTATACGATAGTCCACGCCAGACATTTGCCACGTAGCACGTATACCTGGTTATGATTTACATATAATATTGTTGTTGTTTATGTTGTTATTTTTGTCCTGAATTCAGATGGTTCATGTTTTTGGACTGATCTCATGTTAATATGTCAAAAAAACTTGAACACACATGCAAATAGAACTACTCAAATAAAAACAAAAAAGAGTTTTCCCACTTTCTTGGCAATCGGCATTTGGAATTAAAACGCAGATTGGCTTCTGTCTAGACTTGTATTGTGGGAAGTCCGGAAGACCAAAGCAAACGCACCTACAAATTACAATCACAATGTAATGTTTTTCTTTTACACGAAATGATTAATTTAAACCCCCGAGATGATTATGAGGTAGAAAGAAGAATGATTTGCATAATATAATATGGGCTGTTCTCCTCCGTCGTTTGCGGAGTCAAAGCTTGAATTTTTGAGATTTTTATTTTAGTGTTGTTGTTAGGGCTTTCCATTACTCCACAGACTACGGCGCAGAGAGAGTTTGTTATATCAACCGACAAAGACATCAGTTTGGACTTTTACTCTGAATTTTACGAGTTTAGTCGCATCCCCATATATAACGACTATTTAATGAGTGACTCTGTGGTGGGGGCGGAGGAGCCATGCTCTCCTCACTTCTTTGAATTTTTGTTATCGTCGAAATTTACGCTGGCAAAAAAGAAAAAGAGAAGAAGGACCCAACTCAACAACTTTATATCCAGTTCACCTATAACTAGAAGCTTCTATTTTATTTAGAATGCAATAAGGCAGCTAATCAAGTGGAAAATTATTTTGACTTACAAACTAGAGGTCTTAAGTTCGAACCCTCAAGACATTTTGATTGTGTACGCGTGAAAACCCCCCCTCTCATCTAATCTAGACTATCGCTTGTACTTAAAAAAAAAGAAGAAAAAAAAAAAGAGTGTTATTACTGTTAAGAAAGTTGGGCGGACAAGCAGGAGCGTTTCTATGTTAACGGCATGTTGGGCAGCTTCTCTCCTCTCGTCTTGTCTACAACAACTTCTCATTTACTTCTCTTGACATATAGACATCAACTTCTCCTCTTGCTAGCAACTTCTCTTTTTGGCAACAATTATTCTTCTCATTCTCTCATTTTTAATTATCTTATGCATCTTTAATTTGAAATTGAGTATTCTAGGGTTTAATTAGGAATGAATTAAAATTTGGGGATTTTGTTGAAATGAATTAGGGCTTTGATTTTAGGAATTTTGTTGAGATATTTGATTTGTTGTTGGTATTGTTGAGATGTTTGATTTGTGTTGGTATGTTTAATTAAATGCATTGGTGCTATTATGAGAATTGTTTTATTTTTGTTGAGATGTTTGATTTCTCTTCTTGGTAAAATCTTTCCGAATCTCTCATTGTTGAGCCTCAAGTTGAAAAAGTTGATGATGATCAAGATTTTAATATCAATTATCTTAAGCGTGATCTAGGATTACGTTGTCTAGTTTTATTTTTTGTATTTGTTAAACTTTTATTTATTAATAGATATGCATTTAAAGGTAAGGCTCATTACGTCCCTCTGACTATGTGTATCTTTATATGTTTATTAACAAAATCCACTTGTACCGTCGAATTTAGTATGTAAGTTTTGCTCAGTCAGCTTTCGAATCCTGAAATCGCCACTGCGGACAGGCCACCACTGTCTCTGATTCGTGTGTTGGTCTTGGATGGCCTACCTTGTACTCTAA